AAAAATGAAATGGCAGGACATTGTCCTACACACTTATGCACTTAAAAATGCAAATATCCCCAACATCTTTACCATCTTTTTAATGAAGAACCAGCTTTGTGGGTGAGACATGTTCCAAGAATGTCAGACGACCGTCTGCCCGAAAAAAAATTCTATGCTAAACTGGAATAAAGGAAAGCGTTAAGATGGCCTTAATAAGAATGTTTTAAAGTCAAACAGAAAGCCTCAATAATAGCGTTCGACATAACCCGAGATACATGCAGGAAAAAAGCAAAGATTCAAACATCATCTCATTCCACTTTATACACGAGCAAAATCAAGTTAGCTGATCAGCGGCTGCACAGCGCAAGAAGACACGGTCTGACACTCCTCCCGGAGATGTCCATTACTTCCCTTCACCTACGGCACAAGAAAATTTCGTGATAGAATCGGCCTCGTTAGCCATTTGCGTACCAACAGACAGAACTAACACAAATCTTATGATTAAAGTGGTCGAGGTTAACTCCCTACCGACAAACAACACAGGTAGACATAAATAAGTGAAACACAGATGCAAGTTTTCAATAACAACCTTTAACCAAATCTTTTAATATCGTAAAACGTTTCATTTATACACACACACCCGTGGACAGTGTGCAATAAACAGTAATTTTGTATTTGATAGAACAAAATATGTGCACTTTAAAATATTTCATTTGTTATAAATTAGCAATTTTTGGGTGGCGGGTGGGTGGGGTGGGGGGATTATTGACCCAAGCTATCTTGCAACAGATATTTGTTGTCTTCTTCTTGGGCAAGTATTGTGAATGTTAACAGTTACCTGGAAAGTATTGTTTTGGATTCAAGCACAAACAAAAAACAATTTTTTTGAAGAACGGCGAATGACGAGCTCTATCCCATTTTCGTTTGTTTTTTTATTGGCAGTTTTAACTTTGCCTTTTTGGGAGTACTTTTAATTTTAAGCCTTGTTTCTGGTAAAACTTCTTTGACAAAGTTCATAAAACTGCGATATTATTAACAATAGATGTTAAATGGTCCACGTCATGAGCCTGAACATGATTTGTCAATAATGTTTATGACTTAAATTATTATCTTTTGGCTCTGTGCGGTTCCTGTTATTTCTATGATGCTTTTCGTCTTGTCCAACCCGACTTCTGTATACTTCATCGCTTGCTTCTTGAAGTAGCTCAATTGTCACAAGGCTTAGACTTGCCTTATATATTCTCAGTCTCGCTATCTGCTTATGTAACGCGTTTACTCTTTGGAACATTTGATCTCATCCATTTTCATCAATTTCCTTCTTATAATCACATGGAAGAATTTTTAAAAAAGTATTGTATTACAGGAGATATTACCGGCTTTCGCCCGCTAAAAGAGCTTAACTTGCAAAACCAGGCCGTTTCATGTTTACCCGTGTGGAACGTTAAGTAAGCTAAAAACAGGCAACTACTTTAAATCCTAATATCTTCTCGTTAATTTAAAAAAATGTCATTTTTGTAAAATAATGTATGTTTTTAAGCTCATCCTTACTACAAAATAAGAAATTTCCACTCTGACAAAAGTAAGTCGTTAATATTTCTTTCAACAATGATCCTTTCCACCATAATGTCCAAAAAACTGTGATTAAATCGTGTGAAGAACTTGTACGATACTGAAATAAATTACTAGATGGTGAATGCTTAGTTAAAAAATGTCCTTAATTTATATTAAATAAATCAGAAACAAGAATTAATATATAATACATGTAACACTAATAAACTTCTTATTTATTTGTTTTAACGATTACTTCCTGTTACGACTTTGGTGAATAAAAATAATATTTAAAAAATATCTAGTAAAAAAAACACTTAAAAATTAAATATTAAATATGTGAAGCTAAATGTTGGTGTTTTGTTCCTGGCTAATATATATAAGAATATATGTAGATATATAATAAAAACAATTTTAAGAAAAGAGATGACAAAATTTTCGTAACACTTGCAAGTTTAACCAACTATTGTCTAACTTCCTTAGAATATAATTTTACCTAAGCAAAGAGCAATAACTACGTTACAACTTCTATAGATTGTTCATAACTCAGCAAGTTGAAGCTTAACCACAAAAAAACGGAAGCAATCGTTGTTCACGATCACAAATCATCCTCTAACTCAGCTCTGCCTACTTTATTTCCTGTAGGTAACTCCGATATACAGTTTACATTCTCCGCTCGGAATCTTGGCTGTATTCTGTTTAACAACATGTCTCTCGATAAACATATCTTTCACATTTGTCGCTCTGCATACAAAACTATTCGTCAGATCAGCTCTAGCTGCCAATACCTTGAAGTTAGTGCCTAAAAACCCATGTCTGTGCTCTGGTTCTCTCTCGTCTTGACTATTGTAACTCTCTTCTGTTAGGTTCGACAAGCACTTCATAGAAACACTGTTGAAAGTTTAAAACTCAGAAGCTAGGCTAATTCTAATGCACAAAACGTGATCACATCACCACACTACCCCACTCACTTCATTAGCTCCCTGGAAAAGCACGGGTCGACTACAAACTCTCTGTTCTCCACCAAAACTTTTTTTTCGAAATCATTCCCTTCCTATCTAACCGAACTTCTCTCTGTGTATCCCCCCCCCCCCCCCACTTTTTTTTTCGAGAGCTTAACTCCTCCGCAAATGCGCGTATTTCTTATGTCTAAAGACTCGCACAAAAAGGTGCGGTGAACGATCGTTCTCTTTCTGTGCCCCCAAACAATGGAATTCTTTTCCATTGCACTTGCGCAATATACCGACCATCACAGCCTCCAAAACTGCACTCAAAACACATCTCTTTAAACTCTACCATCCTGACTGATTCCCGCGACTGGGTGTCATCCATGGCTTGACATGTAAATAGTTATAAATACACATTTGTTTAATTTTATTTAATTAAGGTATGTCAATTATGTTTGTTAAATTGTATGTAAAGCCTGGTGAGCCAAGTCCTAGGCTTGGGGGACAACGTGATATAAAATACTTATAATAATAATAATAACTAAAATATAACACTTGAATAGCATTTTATTTAATGAATGACAATTTTTAATCCCGATAAAAGAAATACGATATTTGGAGAATGTCACTTAATCAAAATTTTAATAAGGGTTACAACCACTGGTCATTACCATGGTAAACTTTGGTGGACAGTTTTATACTTATATTTTTGCTTGTTTGTTCAACAGACGATACAAATATAAAAACAAAATTATAATTCCCTTTTAAGCATCGGAGCCCTTTTATTTTGATTCGTCTTTTTTTTTTTATTATTAGCATTGAATTCAAGATAGCTATATATATAAGAAACAAAGATTAACGAAAATTTACATATCTTAAATCTAAATTAGAAATTAACACTACGAATCTTAAAGTTGATGGGCTTGCATTTCTATGCAACGTTACAAGGCCGCGATGTGAGTCATGATGCCAAGCTACTCGTTCGTAACGAGATCCGAGCAATCGTCCAACTCCTCTGTCACACCCTTTAGATGGGGAATCAAATCTACCTACCTGAGAATCATGTCTGTTAGTTTGTGGTTACGTTTTTATTTGTTACCATATGTTACATAAATGTTATTATTTTCGAGAAGGCCATTTCTTTTTAAAACAGAAAACACAAAACACACCAAAAAAAAAAAGACCAAGAAAAATAAATGAAAATAACAACCCTTTAAAATGAGTAAATCTTTATTTTAATCACTTCAAATCTACACGTTGATAATTGACGGAATTGATTCGTTTGATTTAATGATCTTTTGAAAAAAAATTAACAATTAAAGTATTATTTCGAAAAATTATAATTTTTATTTAAACTTTATGGTCTTAAATTGTGACTTTGGGTACGCAAGAGAAACTTTAGTTTGAGGCTAAAACTTTTATTAAAGCCTTATTTTGTAGCTTGTTTTTTTTTTTTTGGTCAATGTCAAATATAATTTATCTTCTGATCGACATTTATATGGATATGATTTTTTGAGAAAATTTACAATGAAAATTAATTGTTAGTGGTACAAAAAATAATAATTTTGTATTTGAAATAATGTATTTCATTTCTGTAAACAAAAGCGATCCAAACAAACAAGAAATATTAAAAATGTTGCTCTGTCTGTTTCCCATTGACATGTGTCGAGTGTGTAGGTGTCAAATCTAATTCTGTATGCGTTCGTGGTTGCACATGTGTGTGAATAAAATTTTAAAACACAAATATTTAAAGCTCTAATAAATATATTGTATACGTATATTAACAAAACACGTGGTGTTACCTTTAAAAAAAAAGATGAATTCATGTACATGTTAAATGTTGATTAAATGAAAGTCTAAGAAAACTAATATAAGTTAACGCTTGAATAACATTATTGCGTTATAAATTAAAGGCCTAACACAAATATATTGTTTTTGTTATTTTTTTTTTGTTAAATTTTATATAAGTATTCAAAATTTACGAATATATATATATATATTTTTTGACTGTCAGATGTTGAGATCTTTTTTAAAGACAAGAAATCTGCCAAATATCAATTCTAATGCTTCTAACCATTCATATTATTATTCCTAACGTTACACATAGACACATCAGTCGCTATCCTAACCTACGGGTTTCAAAAATATCAAGCATATCATAGACTTTTAGAAAATGCTCATTTATTTTATTTATTTGTCTCCATTATTAGACAACGATGACGTCATCAGATTCCAGTCATTTACTGTTTGAACAAGGACAATAAACCCAATCAGCTAATATTACTATGCTTTATTCAAGCAAAAATTTGTGTTGGTCAAATATAAAATATAGCAGCTAACTGAAACTTGAAGTTTCTTAATTTGCGTTTAAAATACATTTAAAAACAAAAACCAAAAAAGGAGAAGATAGAGAGGAATGAAAAATATTTGGAAGATTGTGTACATAAGAAAACGTTAAATGTTGTCTGAATTTCAAAATGCGTGTACTTTATTCTTGTTACATGCCTTGCACGCCTTGTACACGGCAAATATGATAATCATGAGAACACTCGCTATGAGAAACCCGACAACACAGGAAACGATCGCAAGTGTCTGGTTGAAAGGAATGGACTCCGATGTGGCTGTGTCTGCTGATGTCGTTGAAGTTGATATTGATGTGGTCGTGTCCACTTCAGCCCCAGCTTCTACATCGACACGTTGGTTCAAGTTTAAGTCGGAACCCTGGGACTGGATCGTTGGCTCAGCCGTTTCAGAAGATGAGGCTAGATCGTCTCTTTCTAGATTCGATGAAGTCGTCACTGGAAGTGCTTCTTGTTCTGTTAAATCCATGCTTAAATCTTGGGTGCTTAAGACGGATTCCGTTTGCACTACGATTCTGTCTATCAGATTATTTATCGATGCCAATGTTGTCCCAATGGGTGTAGAAGTAGCAGGTGAAGAAAAATATGCCGTACCGGTTGATGGTGATGGTTTTGCTGTCCTTGGAGTGGTTGTTGTGGGTGAACTACTTGTCATAGGGTGCGGGATTGTTGTAGTGGATGGAGTGGTGTTGGTAGTAGGTAGAGTGGACGTTGTAGTAGGTCGCGTGGTTGTTGTAGTAGTTAGCAGGGTTGTTGTAGTAGGTTCCATGGTTGTTGTACTTAGTAGAGTTGTTGTTGTAGCAGGTATTTTGGTCGTTGTAGTAGGTATAGTTGTTGTTGTAGTAGGTCGTGCGGTTGTTGTAGTAGGTGACGTGGTTGTTGTAGTAGGAACCATGGTTGTTGTAGTTGGTAGGGTTGTTGTTGTGGTAGGTAGAGTGGACGTTGTAGCAGGTCGCATGGTTGTTGTAGTAGTTAGCGTGGATGTTGCACTTGGTAGAGTTGTTGTTGTAGCAGGTAATTTGGTCGTTGTAGTAGGTATAGTTGCTGTTGTGGTAGGTCGTGCGGTTGTTGTAGTAGTTTGCGTGATTGTTGTAGTAGGTACCGTGGTTGTTGTAGTTGTTAGAGTTGATGTTGTAGTAGGTAGAGTGGTCGTTGTAGTAGGTAGAGTGGTTGTTGTAGTAGGAAGAGTGGTTGCTGTAGTAGGTAGAGTGGTTGTCATAGTAGGTAGAGTTGTTGTTGTAGTAGGTAGAGTTGTTGTTGTAGTAGGTAGATTTGTTGTTGTAGTAGGTATAGTTGTTTTTGTAGTAGGTAAATTTGTTGTTGTAGTACGTAGAGTTGTCGTTGTAGTAGGTAGAGTTGTTGTTGTAGTAGGAAGAGTGGTTGCTGTAGTAGGTAGAGTGGTTGTTGTAGTAGGTAGAGTTGTTGTTGCAGTAGGTAGAGTTGTTGTTGTAGTAGGTAGAGTTGTTGTTGTAGTAGGTAGAGTTGTTGTTGTAGTAGGTAGAGTTGTATTTGTAGTAGGTAGAGATAGAGTGGTTGTTGTAGTTGATATGGTGGGTGTTGTAGTGGGTACCGTTGTTGTTGTAGTTGGTAGAGTTGTTGTAGTAGGTAGAGTGAACGTTGTAGTATGTAGCGTGGTTGTTGTAGTGGGTAGGGTTGTTTTTGTAGTTGGTTGAGAGGTTGTTATATTTGGTACCTTGGTTGTTGTAGTAGGTAGAGTGGACAATGTAGTAGGTAGCATGGTTGTTGTAGTGGTTAAAGTAGTTATATTCGGTGACGTTGAAGTTTCTAGCGTAGTTGGGGTTAATGTTGTTGTCGGTAATGTGGGTTTCTGTGGTCTAGTCTGTGTAATGGGTGATGTATTTGTAATTATAGTAGTTTTTGTAGGCGTCGTTGTAGTCGTTGGAGGTGTATTAGTTGTTTGTGTTAGTGTAATTTGTGGAGTTGTTGGTGTTGTTGAAGTAATAGGTGGTGTTGTAGATCGTGGTGTTGTAGTTGGCGTTGTTGTTGTATTTTGAGTTGTAGTAGTTGGTGTTGTTTCAGTCTGCGTTGTTGGAGTTGTTGTAGTTGGTGTTGTTTCCGTTTGCGTTGTTGTTGTTGGAGTTGTAGTAGTTGGTGTTGTTTCAGTTTGCGTTGTTGTTGTTGGAGTTGTAGTAGTTGGAGTTGTTTCAGTTTGCGCTGTTGTTGTTGTTGGAGTTGTTGTAGTTGGTGTTGTTGTTGTTGTAACGAGGTTTTCAGTTGTAGTAGTCAAGGGTGTTGTTGTAAATGTCAAAGGCTCTGTTGTAGATTCACTAATTGTTGTAGTCAAATTGCTTGAGAGACCACTAGTTGTCGTTGTAGCGACAGTCGTGAGTGCTGTAACAAAATATATATGATATGTATATATATTTATATATATATATATATATATATTAATTTTAAAAGACAAAACTGCAGCATAAACACAAACAAACACTTCCTAACCAAACCTGGCCTTAAAGGTACCACCTGTGCCCTTGCACAGGTCGCCGTGGTCATAGGGGCGCCTGGGGCAGCCATTAACTATTTGAATTCTCTTATTTTTTTTATAGTGAAGTGTGTACCTCGGGTCTGGGGTCGAGAGACAGTGCTCTAACTTTTCGTACAATCGCTTTTCATGCATTGAGTTTTCATTAAATAAACGTTGCATTCTCAGTATAAATTAATGTGCATGTTAAAATGGGTTTGGTTAGCTACATGCATAGAATCTTAACACGTGCCCCAAAGGCCACGTCGTAATCGGACAAAGAGCGGAGCCATACAGGGAATGGGAGAGGGAGCCCAACGAATGCTTCTCGATGGGTGAAAGTTTACCTAAGACCATCGTAATCCTAACGATTACGAATTTGGATCGAGCAAAATCTAAAAGATTTAATCAAAGGACACCAAGTAAAATGCAGTTGCCTGTCTTGGTGCTTAATATTTTGTAAAATTGTTCGAGAAATCTGGATTTAATCATTGATTCATGACAAATTGAACTTTCATTTGCCTCAATTATTTAAAAAAAAAGTAAATAGAACATAAACGTTATCAAAATGTTGGCTTTCAATATGTGTTCTATAAACTATAAGCATCAGTATTCTTTCATCTATCGATCATAAAGTTTTCACAATACTTGTTCTAGCACGATGAAGTACTTGTAATTGGCAACTCGATATTTACACTCTTTGATATGCGTTCTTTATTTAATTATTTATATTTTTTCTTACTAGAAACATAATGAGCCGTTTAAAAAATATAATAGTGCGCTTCAAAAAACTTACGCTTTTCCATACAAATAAATGAGTAGAGATCAGTGCACGGGTCGTCCCACACTCTCTTGTAGGTTGCCGACAGGACGTAAATGTCGGCGCAGTTGTCCGCGACGTTGTTCGGCTGGCCATTGTAAGTGTCCCACAGGGCCGCTAGTTCCGTGGCGACGGCGCCCGTGTCTTCCCATCGCCAGGTTCCGATGGAGCCCCTGTCATGGGCGCCAATCCAAACACTTTCATCTGCGGGATCAAAGTGTATGAGGTTATTTTCAGACTCTCATTCACAGTGAGGTAGGGAAACAAGTGAAGGCCACCGTTCAGACGCGGGAAATACTTTTTTTGTTAAACAGGGCCCGTTCTTTGTGAAAACTATTTTTTCCCCTCCCCAGTTGATACTAACACTAGTTACGCAACTTCATACCACTCATCTATATGTGTTGCATCGTCTCGTATTTGTCTTAAAGTAAATTACCTCCTAATTATAATGTTACGGTGACGCTTTTTTTTTTTGGTATACCTTATCAATTTACTGCGAAATGTACTTCAACACACACACAGAAACATAAACATACATTTTAAATATTTAATTAAAAAATACGCAAACAAACAAAAATGCTTAAACATTGACGTAAATCAAAATAAAAGTGTTGAGGGGCGAGTTTGTCAAGTCGTCAGAGTCAAACTTTTCAGGATTTATCGAAACTATAAACCTTTTTAACAAAGATCCTTTACAAGTTGGGGTTTATCGAATTTTAAAGTTTCAACTAATTAATTAGCGTATCCGGAAATTCGTTTGAAAGACATAACCTCGACAGAAAATTGAGCGAACGGAAATTTGATCGAAGAGAAGTTTAGTCGAATCATCTCTTCTGTTCTCAAGTTTAAATTTTACGTCATTTTCTTTTTCTTTTGAATGCATTATTTTCTTTTACTATATAATATAGTTCTGTCAAAATAAAATATGAGGAAATTTCTTTCAAACAAATTAGACATAATTACATTAATTTTTCTTTTTAAATAGTTGAAAACGAATTAAAAAATTTTTTAATTAGTAAAAAAAAATATATTGCGAGAGATAAGATGTTCAATTCGTCTTAACCTCCCCCCGCCCCCAACCCTTTTTTTTTCTTGAGTATATTAAATCGTAAAACAAACAAAAAAAACAAGTGGGGGCAGCTAGAAAGAATTTTCAGGGCAATTAATCAAAAGTTTCGGATGAAAAGGTTCATCATCCTTATTTTAGAGGGATTTTGGAGATAACAATGTGTAATAATTGAATATATTACGATTGTGTGTTTATTATTACTAAACTGAGCTTAATAACCATTAAATTAAGACAGCAGCTGATTTATGTGCGTGATTTTAGATTCAACTAGTTTAAAAAAGGAAATAGCATCCACGATAATAAAAGTTAAAAGCTCATTATAATTAGCCCACAAAAAAAATGTATCTTTAAGGTGACGTTGTATGATTGTTTTCATTTTTAATGAATTTTTTTTGTGAATAAATTTTAAAAACACGACTAAATCAAATTATATATATATATAGATATATAGATAGATAGATATAGATATAGATATATATATATATATATATAATCCTCATGCTAAAATAAAAGTATTTAGAAACAAAAAATCAACAAACAAAAAACCCAACGAAAATATCTATTGTAATTTTGTAGAAGATATGTTCCATTGTAATCTAATGACATCACCAATGCTTATAAATATATATACTTTCAATTTGCTTGCTTGATTTGGGTCCAAAATGATCTCTATGTTTTGCTTTAGCGAAATTTGACAGAGCTGAATCAAGTCATTAGCATGATAGATCAATATAAATTGCCACCGGGGTAAGGGACCGAGAAGATTTATTTCACTGGCCGCAGGTGGTAAATATACAAAACGAAAAAAGAAAATATTTCGTATAAATGAATATCTTTAATGTATGTAGTCTCATAACTAATTATCTCTAAGATTATTTTTAATAACCAACTAGTGGTAATTTACAACGGTATGCCTACATTTGCTTGACACCAACTGTTTTTTTTTAAAGTTTATTATGTTTATTACAATTTTCTTCTAATATATGTATATATATATATATATATATATATATATATATATATATATTTTTTTTATATTTTGTGTTTTTTTGTATATATTATATATATATATATATATATATTATTTAAATATCGTGTTTTCGTTTGAAGATATTTTTAAAACAAATTACCTAATGATTATGATTAAAGAATTTAAGAAAAATGAGCATCTGATTGTAACTGAGGAATGAAGACATTAGCGAATAATTGTGAATGAATAATCAAAAAGTGAC